TGCTGTTGGTGAATGTTGAAGATGTGCGGTGCCTCTAAAGCACACAAAATGAGGTCAATGGAATTACCGGTAAAGTAGGACGCTGGATACTCAGTTTTCTGTTGAACAGAACACAAAGAGTAACAGTCAACCATATAAAATCGAGTTAAAAGTTAAGTTAAAAGCTCTGTACCTCAGGGTACAGTCCTTGCACCACTGCTTTTCCTTATTCTCATATCAGATATAGACAAAATTACAAATCACAGCTTCGTATAATCCTTTGCAGATGACACAAAAATCAGCATGAAAATTACCTCTGCTGAAGACATTAAAAAACTTCAAGCAGATATTAATAAAGTTTTTGACTGGGCAACAGAAATAACATGATGTTTAATGGTGATAAATTCCAGGTACTCAGGTACAGTAAAAATGAGAACCCTAAACATAATACAGAGTACAAAACACAATCAAATGTGCCCATAGTAGGAAAGCAGCATGTAAAGGATTTGGGATTAATGATGTCTGACGACCTAATGTTTAGGGAGCATAACCAAGCAAATAATGCGTCAGCCAGAAAAATGATTAGATGGATTACAAGAACTTTCATATCCAGGGATCCCATCACAATGGTTGTAATATACAAATCACTTGTACTGTCCCATCTTAAGTACTGCTCAGTACTCACTTCCCCCTTTCATTGCTGATTTAGAGGGAATACAGAGAACATATACAGCATACATAGATGCGATAAAGCACCTAAATTATTGGGATCGTCTCAAAGCTCTCCAAATGTACTCACTAGAAAGAAGATATAAAATAATATACACATGGAAGATACTGGAGGGCCAGGTCCCAAATCTACACAGTAAAATAACAACATACTGGAGTGAACGATATGGAAGAAAATGAAATATAAACCAGTGAAGAGCAGGGGTGCCATAGGCACAATAAAGAGAACACTGTACTGTATAAACATCAGAGGTCCACGGTTGTTCAACATCCTCCCAGCGAATATAAGAAATATTGCCGGAACAAGTGTGGACATCTTCAAGAGAAAACTAGATAATTTTCTCCAAGGAGTGCCGAACCAACTGGGCTGTGGTGGATATGTAGGCCTGTGGGCCGCTCCAAGCAACAGCCTAGTGGACCAAGCTCTCACAAGTCAAGCCTGCCCTTAAGCAGGGCTTAGGGAGTAGAAAAACTCCCAGAATGCCATCAAGCAGATAAAGTGTCTGTACTGAAACACTTGAAATTAAACTGATAATTATTCACCATGATTGCTCCACACCTCACCTGACCATCCTCTATTAGGTCAGGAAAAAGTATTAACTGTAATTAGGGACAAAGTATGAATTTGTCATTAGTGGACCAAGTAGAATTAACAGACCCATCTCATTATCTGCACATAAGCTAATGAGAGTTTGGAGCAAATATATTACTGACATAATATACTTGTTACAACCCAATACCCTACAACTCTCGTGACAGATATTTTATCAAATCACTTCATCATGCTTCATCATATATATATATATATATATATATATATATATATATATATATATATATATATATATATATATATATATATATATATATATATATATATATATATATATATATATGCGTTGTCCAAGTATTGTACCTCACCTTACTTCACCACTCTCTCCTGCCTATTTATACCCATCACTCGATCTGTAAAATGACCTTCTGAAGATGTATTTAATATACGAAAGTACTTAAGGAAATTTCCCGTTTCATTTTTCCTCCGTGGTCTGACATTGTCACATTCTTAATCACGTGTTTATTTTCGTGATATACACACATATATATATATATATATATATATATATATATGTATGTATGTATGTATGTATGTATGTATATGTATGTTAAATATGACCGAAAAAGTAAGATTAATAATTCTAACACGAATTTTCTCAATATTTCCTGTTTCTTTTTACTGTCAATGGTAATTGAAAAATCAATTCTCCAAAATTCATTTTTATTTCTAGTCTGATGCGACGCTTGAACGCGTTTCGTAATAACTTATTACATTTTCAAAGACTTTAGTTTACACACACACAACTGTAACCTGAAAACACTAAACAGAGTTCTACTTATGCTAACACTTAAACAGCTTGCATTATATACTCGCATTTGAATGTGGTGATATGTTGCAACAGTTTTATATATATATATATATATCTCTCTCTATCTATATATATATATATATATATATATATATATATATATATACATATACATATACATATACATATATATATATATACAGTGGTACCTCGGAATGCGATTGTCCCTGTATGCGAGATTTTCGGAAGGCGAGGTGTATTTACTCCAAAAATTTGTCTCGGAAGGCGATGGTTACTTCGGGAGTCGAGTTTGAACGCGAGTTTGTTGATACGCGTACAGCCGACCTAGCGCGTGGTCGTTCGGCGATCGTCGCCCCTCTGCCCCGCTGCCCCTCAGTTCACCATTGTCTCGCGCGCAGTGACTACCCCCACATCAATTCTTGTCGTGAATTTTCAGTGTTTTGTTGGATTTTTGGTGATTTGTCTATACAATTTGTTATTATATATCTCACCATGAGTCCCAAGAAAGCCAGTGGTAAGGATAAAGGCCAGAAAGCTCATGTGAGGATGACAATAGAGCAGAAACAAGAGATCATTCGAAAGCATGAGAACGGTACACGTGTTGTTGATCTTTGTAGGCAGTACAACAAAGCGACATCAACAATATGCACTATACTTAAGAAGAAAGATAAGATTATGAGTGCTAATGTGGCAAAAGGAGTAAGAACATTAACGACACAAAGACCACAAATACTTGAAGAAGTGGAAAAGTTGTTATTAATTTGGATACACGACAAGGAGTTGAGGGGTGATAGTGTTTCGGAGGCCATTATTTCTGAGAAAGCCAGGGTGTTGCACGAAGACCTTCTAAAGAAGACCCCTGCAACGAGTGATGCAGAAAAGAAAGAGTTTAAGGCAAGCAGGGGCTGGTTTGAAAAATTTAGAAAGAGAAGTGGTATCCATAGTGTTACAAGGCATGGGGAGGCAGCCAGCTCAGACAAACCAGCCGCTGGACGATTTATTGACGAATTTAAAGAGTTTGCAGAGGCTGAGGGATACCTACCGCAACAAGTGTTTAATTGTGACGAAACAGGACTGTTTTGGAAAAGAATGCCTAAGAGGACATACATTACCAAGGAGGAAAAATCCTTGCCTGGACACAAGCCTATGAAAGATAGGTTTACGCTTGTGCTGTGTTCAAATGCGAGTGGCGATTTAAAAATTAAACCCTTGCTAGTGTATCATTCTGAAAATCCAAGGGTTTTCAAACAGTATAATGTGCAGAAAACCCGTTTGTCTGTGATGTGGAAGTCTAATAAAAAAGCATGGGTGACTAGGCTTATTTTTTCGGAGTGGGTGAATGAAGTGCTGTGCCCTGCCATAGAAAAATATCTGCAGGAGAAACAATTGCCACTCAGAGCCGTGCTTCTCCTTGACAATGCTCCTGCTCATCCTCCAGGCTTGGAAGATGATTTGATGCCTCAATGCAATAAATTCCTCACAGTTAAATTCCTTCCTCCTAACACCACTCCTCTAATTCAGCCTATGGACCAGAAAATCATAGCGAATTTTAAGAAACTGTATGAAAGGGCACTTTTCCGGAAATGTTTTGAAGTGACTGAAGCCACAAACCTCACCCTCAAAGAGTTCTGGAGAGAGCATTTTAACATTTTTAGTGCTTTAAAACTCGTTGACAAAGCCTGGCAAGAAGTGACTCAAAGAACCCTGATCTCTGGCTGGAGAAAATTGTGGCCTGAAGGTGTGAGAGAACTAGACTTTGAGGGGTTTGAGCCTATAAATGATGCGCCTATTGTTGAGGAAATTGTTAGTCTAGGCCAGAAAATGGGCTTGGAATTGGATGGTGATGATGTGGAGGAGTTGGTGGAAGAACACAACGAAGAACTGACCACCGAAGAACTCCTAGCCCTTCAACAGGAACAGGAAGCCAACACAGCAGCGAATGATTCTGCAGTGGAGGAGGAGGTGGTGGCAACAGCACCAGCGAATGTCCCTTCTGCAGTAATGAAGAAGGTGTGTCAGATGTGGGAAGAGATTCAAACAACTATTGAACACACTCACCCAGACAAAACTGTAGTAGGCCGTTGTCTTAATCTTTTCAATGACACTGTGATGCCTTACTACAGAGAGAGCTTGCGAAGAAGGGAAAAGCAAGCTTTCATGGACAAATATTTGGTGAAGAAATCGAGCAGTGAACCTCAACCAGGACCTAGTGGCACTCAGGTTAAACGTCCCAGGGAGAGCACACCAGAAAGGTCCTCACTGCCTGATGTGATTATGGAAGGGGACTCCCCTTCCAAACACTAACTCCTCTCCTACTCCCCCCTCCTCACCATCTTCCATACGCCTACAGCACTCGACAGTAAGGTAAGTAATAACTGGAACATACTTTTGTAGGTTTATTTAGATGAATTAGGTATAAAAATTTAGTTTGATGTGGGGTTTTTGGGGTAGTCAGGAACGGATTAATTCATTTCCCTTTATTTCTTATGGGGAAATTAACTTCGGAATGCGAGTTTTCGGAAGGCGAGGCGTCTCCAGGAACGGATTAAAATCGTATTCTGAGGTATGCCTGTATATATATATATATATATATATATATATATATATATATATATATATATATATATATTATATAGTGTGTGTCTGTGTGTAATGGAAAAATTCAAATCATATGTAATGTAATGGAAAGCTTAATCGTTCAATAAGAAAAAAATCTGAAACACATATTTCACATTTTCAATAAGAAAAATTTGGGTTGTTAGGTACAACATGCATACATATAATACATTAATATACTGTATAATATGTAGTATATTTATATTTCTTTGTGATATTACATATAGGCTAAAGTACTCGATGAATTTGTTTTGTCTGGGAACTGCTCATTATTTATTTCCTCTATTTCAGCACGTGATCCGTCAGTGAATTAAGAGCATCTAGTCAAGCAAGAACTACCGTAGCTGGAAGCATTGCCGCACAATTGGCATTTACTCAGATGATGATCAAGTTTTAAACATAGTCCAGTACACTTGCATATAATAGCATATTGATTTATTACCCATCACATAAAATGTGAAGGTTTTTCATGTATTAAGTCCTTCAGTTTGAGTTATGATTCCCATTATGATGAGTATAGTGAAGAACTACACGACCTTCAATATTGACAAGTATTTATGTTTGGTTTGTGGCCCCTCCTTCTATTTTTGTAATTTATCAATAAATTTTTATTACTGGAGGGTCTATTATTTATTATGCAACCTGTCTCTCTCCAGTGCAAGTCGTGCATTAATTGGTTATGCGGGTGTGATGAGGTAGTAATTATCAAAAGTTGCCCCAAGCTGGGAAGACTATGTAGCACCATCTGTGTCACGATATCAAGAAGTAGTTAAATATCACTCCAGGCGCCAATACAAGAACAGAAAATAAGGTGAACAAGATGAAAGATATCGGACTCGCCAAGGATTTTAATGAGACAAATGACCCCCTTGAGACACTATGAAAGTAAGACACTCGAACCTCCTGAAAATTTAGGCATTCGTCGAGGAAGTACCAGACTAAGTAGGACAACACGGTTTGGACAAAAGGGAGCAGGGTGTTGTTCCTTTAAATGACCATGAATCAGGTGGATGTGGGCTGGTTGATCAAACCAGCAACCAGGATGCCTGGTCAGAGACTGGGCTACTGGGACACTGATCCCAGAAATCATTAACAGGTAAACCTATATGCAATCTAGCCAAAGCCGTTTCCTACTGCCTATTACGGTGGCAGGAGGAAGGCCAAGGGGAATGTCACATTTAGGAGCACAGTTTAACTTTAACACCAGCCTGTCAATGGTCAAGGACTACAGCATGAATGACAGTAGAAATCTAAATAAGGAACTCCTTTCTGGGAAATGTTGCAAACATGAATGGCCTTCTTAGCAGTGGCCATGTGCAAGTTCATTCGAGGCAACTCCAATATGGCTGGGAACCCAGGAAAACTCGCCTCTTATATCTGCCAGAGATAAGAAACAGTCATATTGAATTTTGACCACCAAAAGATGTAAAGGGTTAAAAGACTCCAGAGCCATGAGGGGGTACTGCAAAAGTCAACCACAATGACATAGGAATATTGATGCAGAGAAAACAGCTGATGAACAGCATACAAAATTGCATAAAGGTGTGATCCTAGTGAAGATGCTAGTCTCTGGGGAGGGGGTAAGCAGCACATACAGGTTTGATAGAGAAAAAAATGAAGTAACTGACTGACACCGTCGGCAGACTTGGGCCCATCAGTGAACAGAGCAATGTAGTTGGAGAGGAAAAATGTTCAAGCATATGGCTTTTCAATATACAGTAGTAGGAAGGAGTATAAGCCTTCACCATGTGGGTCAGAGTCCTATAAAATTTCACTAATGGGACCCTCCAAGTGGGCAAAGTAGGAACAAGTTCACATTGTCAATGTGAACTAAGTGAAAATCTTGTAAGCGAGCCACCCTAGCAGGAAAAGGAAGGTAGTGAGAGGGAGCAGGGGCCCCCCCTGTTACCTTGTACTATATATTAAAACAGGGTAACAGTTTCAATATACAAGCTCCAAGCAGGGAATGAATGAAATGCACCATAGGTGAGGTGAAGCCTATTATGATGCATAGCATCAAGACAATGAAGTGCTGAGGAACTGATAGTCTTAATGACTTGACAGACAGACAGTATGGTTTTTGAACAGGAAGATTTCTTTTATTTTTTTATTTATTTATACAGTATATACAAGAGTTTTTACATTCCTGTGCAACCACTAGCACGTATAGCATTTCGGGCAAGTCCTTAATTCTATGTTTGCTGGAATACGACCCCGCCAAATTATTTAACAACCAGGTAGCCAGTTTTTACTGTTGGGTTAAACAGAGACTACAGTTAAGGATTTGCGCCCAGTAAATCCTCCCTGGCCAGGATACAAACCCAGGACAAAGCGCTCGCGAAACACCAGGTGAGCATCTTACCACTACTCCACGGAGACTGCCTATCCTGTGTAACAAATCTACTTAGCTTTTATGATAGAGCCACAGAGATACTACAGGAAAGTGATGATTGGGTTGACTGCGTCTATCTGGACCTACCTTGAGGTGCTTCCTTGAGGTTACCTTGAGGTGCTTCCGGGGCTTAGTGTCCCCGCGGCCCGGTCGTCGACCAGGCCTCCTGGTTGCTGGACTGATCAACCAGGCTGTTAGACACGGCTGCTCGCAGCCTGACATATGAGTCACAGCTTGGTTGATCAGGTATCCTTTGGAGGTGCGTATCCAGTTCTCTCTTGAACACTGTGAGGGGTCGGCCAGTTATGCCCCTTATGTGTAGTGGAAGCGTGTTGAAAAGTCTCGGGCCTCTGATGTTGATAGAGTTCTCTCTCAGAGTACCTGTTGCACCTCTGCTTTTCAACGGGGGTATTCTGCACATCCTGCCATGTCTTCTGGTCTCATGTGATGTTATTTCTGTGTGCAGGTTTGGGACCAGCCCCTCAATTATTTTCCACGTGTAAATTATTATGTATCTCTCCCGCCTGCGCTCAAGGGAGTACAGATTTAGGCTCTTTAGTCGGTCCCAGTAATTTAGATGTTTTACTGAGTGGATTCTAGCAGTAAAGGATCTCTGCACGCTCTCCAGGTCAGCAATTTCTCCAGCTTTGAAAGGGGCTGACATTGTGGAGCAGTACTCCACTCTAGAGAGCACAAGCGTTTTGAAAAGTATCATCATCGGTATAGCATCTCTAGTGTGAAAAGTTCTTGTTATCCAACCTGTCATTTTTCTTGCAGTTGTGACGGCTACTTTATTGTGTTCTTTAAAGGTAAGGTCTTCCGACATGAGTACACCCAGATCCTTTATATTGCCCTTTTCGTTCTATGTTATGATTTGCCTGAGTTTTGTACGTGGTTTCTGTTTTTATATTTTCAATTTTTCCGTAGCGCATGAGCTGGAACTTATCCTCGTTAAACACCATATTACCTAAAAAAGAATTTTGATAGTCCCACACAAGAGGCTGTTCTGGAAACTGGAACATGCTGAAGGGGTGACAGGGAGACTTCTGACATGGAATAAAAATTTTCCAACTGACAGATGAGGGCAGTAATCAAAGACAATGTATTTGACTGAAGGAGTGTTACTAATGGAGTACCACAGGCTTCAGTTCTTGCACAATAATGTTCAGGATCTACATAAACAAGCTACGAGAAGGAATACAGAATTATATGAACATGTTTGCAGATCATGTTAAGGTACTGGGGATAACAGTAGATGCAGATGATTGTAATGCCCTTCAAATTGATCTACATAAAGTAAGTGCTTGGAGCATCAAATGGCAAATGGAATTCAATGTGAATAAATGCCAGGTTATGGAATGTGGAATTGGAGAAAATAGACCATACACAACTTACATATTATGTGGAAAGGAATTACAGAACTCTAATAAAGAACGAGACCTAGGGATGGTTTTGGATAGTAAGTAGAGGAACACTTAAAATACATTGTGAGAGGAGTGAATTCATCACTTTCCAACTTCAGACATGCTTTTAACCACCAAGCTGTGCTGCATTAAAATATGACACCCACGTGGTGAGCCCGTAATAAATTATTTCCAAAAAATCATTTTCTCTTCTTAAATTGTTAAAATGCACTCTGATCATGGGAAACTAAAATAAAAGATTGGATGTGACATACTTTAGCCATGATGTCAGAGAAAAAGCCGAGAAGTTGAGCAAATTATGGGCGCTGAGCAATGAAATGCTCAGGGTCACTCAACCCCGCCACCCTGTGGGGCGGCAGTTTCTGCGAATATACATTTTCACAATTATTTTGATGTTCCTCATTCGTTTCTTCTGTTGTTTTTTTTGTGCTGTAATATTATTCAAAAGTGTGTAATATGTGGAATTTATATAGTTCAATGTGTGGAACTCAAAATTAATGGGGCTCATATATGTGACATGTATACAGTATTATATTCTACGATCAATCATTGTTTTTGCTGTTATTACACTATATATACACACACACGTTGTATATACCTATCTACATGTTTGTGCATCATAATGAACCACAAAGATTGTATATAAGGTGTTTATATACACTGAACAAGAATCCAAGGTCAGCCTAACAGCTGTGTCTGGCAGGGGCTGCCCCAAATACATTTTTACATAATTATTTCAGTGTCTGTGACTGGTTTATATCTAGTTTTTTGCAGTAATATTATTCAATAATGTGTAATATATGGAATGTATATAGTTAAATGTGTGGAATTTTGCTATTCTCAAAAAATATGGAGCTCATATATGGTAACACATATATTACATTCTTAGATCAACCAGTGTTCCTGTTGTTATTACGCTATATACGCGTGTTATATATCACTATCAACATTTATATGCACCATAACATACTAATAAGCAGTTCTGGTGGGTATTGTGATGAAATCAAAACACAGCATGGAGCCACAAGCAGACAATGCCAACAGTCACATGATGCAAGACAATGCCTCCCATATTCTACTCATCTTGCTATGACTAGCTACAAAACTGCTGTTATTATCATATTCCTGTCACAAAATCCTGAATATGAATCCATTTTCATAACAAAATGATCATTGGTGATGGAACATAAGATCGTTTCATGATGCACAGATGCAGGAAACAATGACTGGGTGCTGTCTCTCTACCTCATGCTGTGAATATCATAAACATTGTATTCATTGATATCTGAACGTTGTACATGATTTTTATCACAGTCAGTATCATCTATAACACTATCAATGCAAAATAATTTCAGCTGCCTCTTTTATTCATCATTACTAAGTGATGCTGTGGCCCTTAGCTGCACAGCGGTGCTGTGAGCTGGTCCTGCATGCACCAGCCTTTGTCACTCTCTCAATACTAAGGCTCTTACAGCCAGCATGGATGCTTATGATTTTTTTCCAAGATGGTGTCTGTTTACAGGAGTCCTGAGGCACAGGATGTGAGCCCCGTGTACCCGCAGGAGTTTTGAATCGCTCCCTATACTGTACCTACAAACTCCTCATGGTGCTCTGCGCAGCAGTTGTATGGTGCCCAAATATCAAAAAGCACATTAACTGGAAAAAGTGCAGCGGCATGCTACAAAATGGTTTCCGGTACTGAAAAACAAGAGTAATGAGGAGACTAGTGACGTTAAACATGCCAAAACTAGAAGTTAGAAGATAGTTGATATGATCATCATTTACAAAATACTAACAAGAATAGACCAAATTGACAAAGCAGAATTCCTGAAACCAGCAACTTCATGAACAAGAGGACTGATTCAAGCTAAGAAAGCAGAGGTGGCAAAAAATATTAGAAAATTTTCGTTTGCAAACAGAGTGGTAGATGGTTGGAACAAACTTAGTGAAAATGTGGTGGAAGCCAAAACCGTCAGTAGTTACAAAGCGCTATACGATAAAGAGTATTGGGAAGATGAGACACCACGAGTGTAGCTTTCATTCTGTAACTACACTTTTGTAATTACACACATACACACACACACACACACACACACACACACATGTACACAAAAAATATAAAGTTATTGTATACAATTAGGAGCAAATATGAAACCATTAACAAAAGTAAAGAAGCGATTGCTGCCCTGAGTCGTCTGGGCAACGGATATTGAGCTATATGCAGGTACAGGTACTATCATTTCTTTACCAAGAAATTATACAGTACAGGCAGCCCTCGATGCATATGGGTATGTTTCTGGAAGACAGTAAAATCAAATTAAAATTTATACCGAAGAATTCTACAGACCTTCCTAACTATTGCTTTTTCTACTTTTACTTAAATATAACATGTATATAATTATTCCTATCATTTTCAACATCCCAGTGTGCTAAAAGGGTATTCCCTAATGAGTGTAGACAACAAAAAATGGTGAAAAATGCAAAGTTTAATCAATCAGCCTGTCATCTTTATAGCACGTTGCATTTTGAAGTATACCTTAATTAAGGCCTGCACTCTGATGTGTACTTTATTTAAGGCCAAAAACAGATTAACAAGAAAATGGTAGCGGCTCACGAAATTGACAATTTCCATTTTTCTGCTCATGGATCCTCTGGTTGGTTAGGTTAGCGCACTTTGGTAGGACACTTTCTTGATGTTGAGAACACTCATGAGAACGCCCTGAATTTATACATTGTGAGAGCATGTGTAAACTGGTTGGCCAACATCGCACAGCAATGCATGACATAATTCACTTGCTTGGGTTCTTGTATGATTTACTTGGTTGCATTCTTGCACCTTTCACTTGGCTGGGTTCTTGCAGAACAAATTCCAAAACCATGTACAAACCTGCATATTATGAAAATAGCTAATGTGCTTCTAAAATGAAGCTACATGCTTTAAAATGAGATATAAAGCTGAAGCAATATAACTGTGTAAGTGCATATTCAAGTGTTTTATTTGTAGCTTTTTAAACTTAAACGTTTACCTCCATTAGGTGAAGACTGGCTCAGATCTTGGGAGTTTTACTGATGACACAGTATAACTAAAAAAAGAGTAAAAAAAATCTAACTAGTCAAGTCATCAAGTAGGAAGGCAGAGAGAGCAAACAAGTGAAACATGCATTCTGCAGGATCTGTTAATGCAGAGCATATATTTTTTAAGGTAGAAAATTCACCCAAATAGACAAAATTAAAAAACCAGCGTTGAATGTAATGAAACGCCATTTTCTGGGCGAGTCCTGGAGGCTTCCCCGAGCTATACTGGGCTGATATGTATGTATTAGATCATGGCATCAGTCCATTTGATTGGAGTTCTAGCCTATCGGGGACTACGAGCCAGAACCTGCCTCCTCAGAGAGGCACGAGGAGCAATGGCCTATAGAAACCCCCATGTGGTTGGAGGCATTCTGTGTCTGCCATCTATCGGGTTAGGCACCCAGAAAGACAAGCATCCCAAAACAGACCCCAACTGGTGAAACATTGGTACCGAAAACCGAACTGCTAAGCAGAACCCCCCAATCTGAAAACAAGCAAGCAAGCAAGTATGATGTCACACCCACCGCCGCACCGCCTATCTGCGCTTCTCCCCCTCCCATTCCAGGGAGGGGAAAGGATGGGGGGCCTCCCCCAGACCCCTGCACTGGCTATCCAATCTTAGTTTAGAGACTGAATGTCAAAAACATGAAAACCACCAACCGGAGGGAGGAAGGGTCCTGAAACAGCCAAGAGAGCGAAAGGACAAAACAACCCAATCCTAAACCAAAGACAACCTACGAAGGGACAAAAAGTGCTGAAAGAACTGCCAGGAGACTTCATACCGTTGTCGAGACAAAACACACAGGTGGGCCACATCAACGAGGCCACCTGATCACGATACAAGTGGTGATAAACCCGCATCACAAGGCTCCGATCAGACGTGAAGACCGGAGGAGAAGATTGAACCAGCCATGTACCAGACTGGCGCGATCTGCTGAAAGAAGTGGAGCCATGGAAAAGTCCTCGGATCTGGACACTGAGCAAGCAGCGCCTGAAACCAAGGCTGGGCTGGACACCAAGGGGCCAACAGGACTACTTTTCCCTGGAACATCTCTAAAAGAGCCAGAACCTGAAGCAACAGCCGGACTAGGAGAAAGAGGTACAGGGAACCCCACCTCGACCAGTTCCATTAAAAAGTATTGACCCCGACCGCCTCGCAGTCGGGGAATGGCGTCACATATACCGGGAGACACCTTGCCCATACTAACGCAGAGAGTCCACCTCCGGGAGCCCGTGTATCTGGCAGAGCTAACTGAACGAGTTGACGTTGACCATCCAATCCGTGGAAAGGGGAATGAACCGGGACAGGCCGTCCGTCAGGATATTGGACATCCCCCTGGATGTGAACTGCCAGGAGAGCCAAACCCTGAGAACTCAGCAGACGAGTCACCCGAAATGACCAGCCCCAACGAGCCAAGCATCGCATCGAACGCCCCGGTTCAGGCAATGAACCACCGGGGAGCAGTCTGAATGGAGCCGGACAGTCAATCCGTGAGCAACACGAACACTCCGAAAAGACAGCCACACCGCCGCAAACTCCTGCACCGGGCTGTGAGCCTGACAGAAGGACGGACCCCCACTGACCTTGGCTGGCCTGGCGAGCACTGGTCACAAAGCCCCAGGCGAAAGATGAGGCATCTGTGAACACATCGAGCGAGGGCTCGGAAAGGCGCCATTGCACTGAACCTAGAAACCCCAAAAGAGGAAGCCAGCGATGGAGCAGCCAATGCAAGGCCTCTAGATGCCGAAACCAAACCCAACCGGCGGGTAAACCAGCACGGCGAATGTCCGACTCCTGCACAGCTGCTCGAGGAACCAACGAGTGACCTGGGAACTCCTCAGAAACAGCTGCAGCCACAGCAGTGACTCAGGAGGGAGAGACAAGGAAGCGGTTCGAGAGTCCCACACAAGACCTAACCAAGTTTGAACCAGAGAAGGAACTAGATGGGATTAGTACACCAGGAACCAGAACTTGGCGAGCTGGGAAAGAACCACCCCTCTGGCGAGCACACAAGCAGACCGGCAGGGAGCCCACACCAACCAGCCATCAACGTAGGCCAAATCTGAACTCCCCAGCAGACTAAGAAAAGCCACCACGAACCGGACAAGATGCAGAATATGTGAGGTGCCAGGGTCAAACCAAAAGGAAGGCAACGAAAGCGTGAAATCAGTCACCCTACAAACAGGTTGACCCGAAAAAGGGTTGCCCCCTTTCCCCTACCGGGGAGGAGGGAGCTGCACAGACAGGCGGTGTGGCAGCGGGTGTGACGTCATGCTTGTTTGCTTGTTTTCAGATTGGGGCGTTCTGCTTAGCAGTTCAGTTTTTGGTAGCAATGTTTCACCAGCTGAGGTCTGTTTAGAGATGCCTACCTTTCTGGGTGCCTAACCCAGTAGATGGCAGACATAGAATGCTTCTAACCACATGGGGGTTTCTATAGGCCATTGCTAGTTGTGCCTCTCTAAGGGGCGCCAGGTTCTGGCTCCTGGTCCCCAGTAAGCTAGAACTCCAATCGAATTGACTGATGCCACGGTCTAATACATACTTATCAGCCTGGTATAGCTCCGGGGAGCCGGGGCTCTCCACAGAAAAATCCCATTTATTTGTGAAATTTGGCAATTAGAATTCTGGGCCAAAGAGAATTGATTCTCGTTAGATTAGAATTAGTTAAATTGAGTCAGTGTTAATGTTCTTTAAGACATTCTCAACATCAGTATGGTTTCTACTGTGAACTTTCATATGGTTTATCAAAGTTGATTTACAAGAAAAGGCTCTTTGACATTCAGAGCATTTATATGGTTTTTCCCCTGTATGAATCCTTGCATGTTTTACTAGATCAGATTTTCGAATAAAATCCTTTAGACACACTGAGCAATGAAATGGTTTCTCACCTGTATGAAATGTCATATGTGCTGAAAGATATGATTTTCGTGGAAAATCTTTCTGACACACCGAACACTGATAAGGTTTCTCTCCTGTATGAAGCCTCATATGTTTAACTAAATCATATTTTTGTGAAAATGATTTTAGGCACTCAGAGCACTGAAATGGTTTTTCTCCTGTATGACTTCTCATGTGTTTTACCAAGTCATATTTTTGTGAAAAAGATTTTATGCACTCTGTACAGTGATGTGGTTTCTCACCTAAGTGAAGTTTCATGTGTGTTACTAGAGAAGATTTCCGTGTAAAGTTTTTTTGACACTCTGAACAGTGATAAGGTTTCTCTCCTGAATGAAGTCTTGAATGTATTGCCAGATTTGATTTGTGTTTGAAGGTCTTTAGGCAAAGCAAGCACTGATATGGCTTCTCGTCTGAATGAACTCTCATGTGTGTTGCTAGACTTGATTTTTTTGAAAAGTCTTGCAAGCACTCTGAACAACAATATGGTTTCTCTCCTGTATGTAGTTTCATGTGTGTTGTTAGATTTGATTTTTGAGAGAAGTCTTTTAGACACACAGAGCATTGATATGGTTTCTCTCCTGTATGAACTCTCATATGAAGTACTAACTGTGATTTGCAATCAAAGTCTTTAAGACACTCGGAACACTGAAAAGATTTCTCTCCTGCATGAATTCGCATATGTTTTACTTGATTAAGTTTAAATAAGAAGCTTTTTAAACATACTAAACACTTGTAAGGTTTCTCTGGTGACTGAACTCTCAAACTACTTGTAAGATTCATTGTATGTAAAGTAATAAAGACACTGAACAACAATGTTGGATTGGACTGGAAAATTTAGACATTGGATTGGGTATTGTTTTTTAAGTATTTTGGCCCCTGATATAACTTTACATTTGACAAATGCACTACAATATTTATCATTAATTAAAGTCTTTTTAACAATGATCATCAATGCTGGTGCCCTTAAAAAATAATGGATTTGTTATGCAAACTTTATTAAACAATAGTAACAGCAAACTATATTTCAGAGCTCTTGTGTATGTTTCTGCAACATAATCTCATTTTCAGAAAACAGTTTCCTAAATGGTCTGAAATGATTACATCAACGATAATATGTTCTCCTATAAGGTGTCTGTTTTACTATGAGAAAATTCTAGTATTAATTTTTTACAATGTTAAACCAAAAACAATTCCAGGCCCAACTCCCATGATACAATGTAATAGAACATATTTATGAGAAGGAACTTGAGAGGTAGCAATAAAATGTTTATTTGTTCTTAACTCTAATTTGTAATGTGAACTGTGTATTATGTGAAGAATATTACACACATAAAATAGTGGAATCATTTCTCTCACCAGTAAATACAAGATAAATTTTTTGTACAAACAATACGAAGACACTTTTAACAATGATGTACTTGCCTCTCCAAGGTACTTCCTCATCACTTACCAACAGCTGATTTCGATGAAAGGTCTCACTCTGAGTGATGAACTGAACTCCCAATCCAGCAATGTATGAGAAGGGCATTGTATCAACACATGGCATCACTTATCTCACACTCACTACCACTGTCCAATACTTGACACCTGAGAATCATACTGCATACCAAAAATGTACTAAGTCAACAAAACAGACAGCCTCTAATATCCATGAATGTAATATGCACACTGCTGCACCTTCTGTTAGCAGAATGAAGCTTAATATTCTTCCAATGTGCATCTAACCCCTGCTGGTAGCGTGAGCTTCAGTGCACTAGTTGTTCACATTACATGTTAACTATTTCTCTTCAAAGGATAAACTTCTTCAATCGCTCCTAATTTATCATGTGACCAAATTTGTAAGTTGAGGTTATGGGCCTGTAAAAATTAAGTTGTTTAGTCAAGCTTAAAGTTCCTAAATGTCACAATACATGTACTATTTTTCATCTGTGGAATCATTAATGTCACCTAGAGCTAAAATCACATATAAGCAGTATTTTTTCACTTACACGTTTCGAACACGTTTCGTGTTGAAATGTTGAACACGTGTTGAAATTACCAGTGTACTTCCTCCAGTGTGACGATGAGCTGTAAATGAAAAGATTGAGTGATCAGTACGACTTTTCCTACCAAGAATATCCCTGATATTCATATACTGTACAGTGGTACCTCGGGTTACGAACGTCCCGAGGTACGTTCGTAAACGTTGTTTACGAACTTTTCGGGTTACGAGCCCGATTTGTTCGGAAAATTTGAATCGGGATACAAGTTTGTTGATACACGTATGGCCGACCTAGAGTGTTGGGCTAGGCGCAGGGCTAGGCACTCTCAGTTTGTTTACACGTCTATTCCACAAAGTGACGACTGAGGCCACACTTGAATTCTTTGTGAAGAATTTAATTGTTTGCTCTTTTTTTGGGGGGGAGGGGGGACTGCATGGACGAACAATGCAATGGCATGGTGTGATGTTTGCTTGCTTGCTTGTTTTCTTGTGAGTTGAGGGAGTTCTACCTCCCTGTTTGGCTTTCGTTTGCATTTTTCTTACCTTGTGGGGTCTGTGTTACTACACCTACCTCTTTGTGTGCCTAACCCCTGTTGATGGCAGATAAGGTAAACCCCTAACCACACGGGAGTTTTCCAGGGCCATTGCTCTCTGCGCCTCTTTGAGGGGGGCGCAGGTTCTGGCACGTAGTCCCTGGTAGGCTGAACTCCATTGACTAAAGTCCTGGTCTAATGTATCGCATATTAGCCCAATAGTTCCAGGGAGCTGTAGGGACTCCCAACAGAAACAACAAGAAAAAAAAGTCGACAGAAGGGAGGGTGCCGGGGAGCTTCCGGGGCTCACCCAGAAAATGTTGTTTCATTACATACAACACTGGTTTTCTGTGGGGAGCCCCTACGGGTTCTCTGAGCTACCTAACCAAAGAAAAGTGACCAGAGGGACTTACTCGGGAGGCAGCCGCCAATCGCACCTCAACTCAAAGTTGAGACAACTGGCTGCAACCTGTGATCCAAAGTGACACACGCTTTACTAGGGCCAGTAACTAGAGAAAACGCGAGACTCATATATACGACACGCTTGCATAAATGCACACATAATATGTAACACCAAGAACTCCTCTGATTGTGCTTATGACACCCCTGCTCTTCACTGGTTCTATTCTGCATTTTCATCCATAGTGTTCACTCCAGTATGTTGTTATTTTACTGTGTAGATTTGGGACTTGGCCCTCCAGTATTTTCCACGTGTATATTATTTATTATATCATTCATCTCCTTTCTAGGGAGTACATTTGGAAAGCTTTGAGATGATCCCAATAATTTAGGTGCTTTATCTCATCTATGTATGACGTATATGTTCTCTGAACTCCCCCTATTTCAGCAAAATAGACTAACACTCACAGGGTAACACACCACTGGGAACACACAGGATGCTGATGATGCCAAAATTATGAGAAGGATTAAGACAGAGGAGGACTGCTTGAAGCTTCAAGAAGACCTAGACAAGCTGAAGGAATGGTTGAACAAATAGTTGTTTGAGTTTAACCCAAGCAAATGTAATGTAATGAAGATAGGTGTAGGGAGCAGGAGGCCAGATACAAGGTATCATTTGAGGGATGAAATTCTTCAAGAGTCAGAGAGAGAGAAAGACTTGAGGGTTGATATCATGTCAGACCTGTCCCCTGAAGCCCATATCAAGAGGATAACATTAGCAACATATGCCAGGTTGGGCAACCATATGAATGGCATTTAGAAACTTGTGTAAGGAATCATTCAGAACTGTGTATACCACCTATGTCAGACCAATCCTGAGTTCACATCTAGTCAAGCATAAGACTAAACAGGAAAAGGTTCAAAGGTTTGCCACCAGGCTAGTACCCAGGCTGAGAGGTATGAGCTACGAGGAGAGACTTCTGGAATTAAACCTTATGTCACTGGAAGACAGGAGAGTCAGGGGGAACATGATCATCATGTACAAGATTCTCAGAGGAATTGACAGGGTAGATAAAGACGGGCTATTTAACACAAGGGGCACACGCACTAGGGGACACAGGTGGAAACTGAGTGCCCAAATGAGCCACAGAGATATTAGAAAGAACTTTTTTAGCGTCAGAGTGGTCGACAAATGGAATGCATTAGGAAGTGATGTGGTGGAGGCTGACTCCATACACAGTTTTGTAACGGTTCTATTGTTACGTAAAGTATGGTGACAAATAAACACAGACACTAAGATACTATATATATATTTGGTCGAATATACAGAAGTACACAGGTGATACGTTGGTGTGAGTTGAGCGCACTGAGCGTTGGTACAGTATCTCGCAAGTGTCTGCTCTAGACCACACTTGAAAGTAGACTAGTTAATGTTTGCTATTCTTGCTGCTTATATTGCTCGGGCAACACCTCACCGTGTTGCCCGGGCAACACCTCACAGTGTTGCCCGGGCAACGCCTCACCTCATTCATCTCCAAAGGTTGACAGGAATATTAACACTATATTTGGAGCGAGTATATTATTGGGATAATCTACTCGCTACAGAACTCCCCCTCCCAGGGGATGAAAGGAAAAATACTTGATCAAGGAACTTAGCTGGTCGGTGAATTGTACGCCCTGCTTGCGTTACATAACCATTAAAGTTAACTTCCTCCTCTTCGCTGATGTCATCTAACTGGGGTCGTAGGGTGGGAGGTCGCACAGGATCGTCCGTCGTCGTAGGATCAGGTTGTGGTGCAGCTGGTAACTGGGGTTGTAACATGGGAGGTCGTACAGGATCGTCCGTTGTCGTAGGTGGCGGTGCTGCTGGTAACTGTGGTCGAAAAGTGAACTGCGTAGTCGGCGGATGTGTCTCTGGATTTAGCAGACGTTGAGACGAAGCCTGGAGCAGAGCAGAGAGCTGAGTGAGGCCAGAGTCGTGGAGCTCTATGTGGGAGAGCGTGGCGGCTCGATTGAGAGTTGTGAGTGTCTAAACTCGGGGAGCGAGAGCGTGGCGGCTCGATGCGGTCGTAGTCTGCTGTCTGCTCTGTGTCGAAGCTGTAGCGTCTTGGGTTGATTAGGACTTGTACACGCCGAGTACTACATTGTTGACTGTGGAAATTGTAGTCTGGTACCAAAAGATGTAGGCAGTGTGTGGACAAGCTCGGTGTAGCTTGTCCACAGGAGAGAAGAATGTGCATAATTGTTTCGTCCTTGGGTCGCTGGTGGAGCATTTAGATCCGGGGCGGATGCGCTCGGGCACCAGGACATTAGGAGGTAATGTGGGCACGTAGTTAGGACAACGAGGTAATCACTGCTAGAGCTGAATTGTCCTGGAGGCGACGAAGAGTCGGAAACGCAAGCTGTAAGTCCTGTACTGCGCAAAGTGCTTGAGTCGGCAGAGTATCAGAATGCAGTGAACGTGTAGATGAATCTGACGAAAGAGCAGCTTTCGTGGGCGCCCCTGTAGAACAAGCAGTGCCCTGGCAGCGACGGAGAGTCGGCAGGACAGGCTGTAGATCCCACATTATGTAGTTACTGATGAAGCTGCCAGATGAGTGAGTAGTGATCGTGGAGCAGCAAGCCGTAGTAGATGAAAATGCAGAGATGATCGCGATGAAAATCATAGCTGTGGCAAGGGTGTTGGCAACGTTCCACGACAGGTGGCTGCGGTCCACAGCAAGCAGCAGCAGTGGAGGTCCAGTGAGAGTCCATGTTGTAGTCCATCGTGGCTGGGTATCGTCGAAACTCTCTGGGGTCACCAATGTAACGGTTCTATTGTTACGTAAAGTATGGTGACAAATAAACACAGACACTAAGATACTATATATATATTTGGTCGAATATACAGAAGTACACAGGTGATACGTTGGTGTGAGTTGAGCGCACTGAGCGTTGGTACAGTATCTCGCAAGTGTCTGCTCTAGACCACACTTGAAAGTAGACTAGTTAATGTTTGCTATTCTTGCTGCTTATATTGCTCGGGCAACACCTCACCGTGTTGCCCGGGCAACGCCTCACCTCATTCATCTCCAAAGGTTGACAGGAATATTAACACTATATTTGGAGCGAGTATATTATTGGGATAATCTACTCGCTACAGTTTCAAGTGTAGATATGATAGAGCCCAATAGGCTCAGGAACTTGTACACCAGTTGATTGACAGTTGAAAGGTGGGACCAAAGAGTCAGAGCTCAACCCCTGCAAGCACAAACAGGTGAGTACAAATAAGTGAGTACAGGAGGCACACCACTGGAAACACACTCACTACTGGGAACATACATGTGACACCCCACTGGGAACACACATGTGACACAACACTGTGAACACACACGTGACACAGCACTGTGAACACACACGTGACATAGCACTGTGAATACACACGTGACACATCACTGTGAACACACACGTGACACAGCACTGTGAACATACACGAGACACCACTGTGAACACACATGACACAGCACTGTGAACACACACGTGACACATCACTGTGAACACACACACGTGACACATCACTGTGAACACACACGTGACACAGCACTGTGAACACACACGTGACACAACAAAGTGTGTCACGTGTGTCAAGGTAAGACTAACGGCAGGGTGGAGCAGTGACACAACTGGGCCACGCCGGCACCAAACATCAGCATGATAACTGTGAACCCCGTCTCACCTTGAGATTTAGAGCGTGACAGTGACGGACTGTGACGATCCAGGACACCTCTGGCGGGACGTGACGGCTCCAGCCTGCTTCACTGTGATGTCTGTGTTCCAACTCCAGCCTCTCAGCTGACAGCGGCCGTGTTTACCTTCACCAACGACCGTGTCCTGACGCTGGCACCGGCCTCGGCTTTCTGACAATGGATGATGATGATGATGATGATGATGATGATGATGATGATGATGATGATGATGATGATGATGATGATGATGATGATGATGATGATGATGATGATGATGATGATGATGATGATGATGATGATGATGATGATGATGATGATGATGATGATGATGATGATGATGATGATGATGATGATGATGATGATGATGATGATGATGATGATGATGATGATGATGATGATGATGATGATGATGATGATGATGATGATGATGATGATGATGATGATGATGATGATGATGATGATGATGATGATGATGATGATGATGATGATGATACATTCACAAGTAGGTACAATCTGTTTGTAAGATTACATAAGATTTGTATTTTTACATTCTTGCAAAGCCACTAACACGCATATAGCGTTTCGGGCAGGTTAACACCGTTTCGGTTAACGGAATTGACATCTTGCTAGCTGTTGTTGTTGTTGTCGTCGATTTAGGGGCGACGACGATCATGGGATCGGATGTGCCCCGGCGTATCCATGTAGGGTTAATCGCGAAGCCCGGAAAGGGTGAAACGCCAAGATTAATCGCGAAACGAGTGATGCCAATCACTGGAAATTAATATGCCTCAAGGCAGAGAAACGCAGATCTTGCTAGCTGTACTGTATAAAACGGTTACTAGTCGCTTGGTACAGAAGGCGGATTGCACACTTATTTACTATTTCGGACACAAAATTACTACGGTCGGTTGGTCAGTTAGGGTGGGTGGGTGGGTATATCGTGGTGTCTCGTTTTCCCAGCACTCTGTCATATAACGCTTTAAAATTACTTGCTAAAATTATTGCTATCTAAAATAATTAGACGAGCCAAAACTAAATACTATGAAGATAAATTTACCCAAATAAAGAGCAACATTAAAAAAACTTGGAGCACAATTTCACAAATATTGGGATCAAAGAAGGTTTTAAATAACAAACCAACACTCCTTTCCAATAACGATGGTCAGCTTTCAGCCTCTGATTCTGCTATTGAGTTCAATAGGTTCTTCTCTTCCATTGGGTCATCCCTTGCAAATGATATTCCATCTTCCTGTACTGATGTTAAGGACTATCTTACAGGTAACTATCCACAGTCTCTGTACCTAAAGCCTACTAGTTCCACTGATGTCAATGAAATAATCCTTTCCCTTAAAACCAAGTCTAGTGCCCTCGAGGAGATACCAACTTTAATTTACAAAAAAGCCTCCAGATCTCTAGCCCCTGCTATTGCATTGCTCTTCAACAAGTCACTTGAACTCCAAACCTTTCCAGACATTCTAAAAAAAGCAAGAGTAACCCCTGTCCACAAATGTGGTGATCTCACAGATGTTAACAACTACAGACCTATATCAATCTTGCCTAACTTGTCAAAAATATTCGAAAAACTAATCTACAAGCAGCTTTACTCTTTTCTAGCCAAACACAATATACTTAGCTCTTGTCAATATGGCTTCAGACCAAAAAAAAAGCACTAACGATGCACTTATTAGTATGATTAACTTAATTCACGCAGCTTTTGATAAAACGGAGTTTCCTGTTGGGTTATTTGTGGACCTGCGTAAGGCTTTTGACACTGTCAACCATCAAAACCTTCTTCTTAAATTACATCATTATGGAGTCAGAGGACACTCCCTGCAATACCTCAAATCTTATCTTACTGACAGGCTCCAGTATGTTTCTGTGAATAATACTATTTCTCCCACCCTACCCATCAACATTGGTGTTCGTCCTCAGGGCAGCATACTTGGCCCTCTCCTCTTTCTCATCTACATTAATGACCTTCCAAATGCCTCCCAACACCTCAAACCAATTCTATTTGCTGACGACACAACCTTCATTTACTCCAGTCCTGACCCCCTTGCTCTAAATGCCACAGTAAATACTGAGCTAGAGAAAGTCCATCTTTGGCTAACTGCCAACAAACTCACCCTTAACATTGACAAAACGTTTTATATTCTGTTTGGCAATAAATCCTCTAATCAGATAAATCTCAAAATAAACAATACCCAAATTTGTAACAAATTGGATGGCAAATTCCTTGGCGTTCTCATCGACCACAAGCTGAATTTCCTGGGTCACATTCTAAATATATCAAAAAAAGTTTCAAAAACTGTTGGCATTCTTTCTAAGATCAGATATTATGTACCCTGCCCTGCCCTGGTTACTCTCTATTACTCCCTCATCTATCCATACCTCAACTATGGTATTTGTGCTTGGGGTTCTACTACCCAAAATCATTTACGTCCTCTTATTACCCAACACAAAGCTGCTATTAGGACAATATCCAACTCTGGCCCCAGACATCACTCGGTACCCTTACTCAAATCTCTGAATATGTTAGATATTAAGTCACTGCACATTCTCTCTTGTGTATTATACATATATAAAACGCTGAACTGTAATGCCAATCCTGACCTCAAAAGCTTCATTGAAGGTTGTAACAGAACCCATGAGCACCACACCAGAAATAAATACAGTTTTGATATTCCTAGAGTACGACTTAATCAAACTAGAAATGCTCTACAAATCAAGGGACCCAGAATGTGGAATGACCTTCCCAACCATGTTAAAGACTGTACCTCTCTCAACCAGTTTAAGATAAAAACTAAACACTACCTAATAAATTCCCTGTAACCTACCTCACTCCTCTATTGTCAACCCATGTCTGTTATTTATTTTTTTTTTTTTTTTTTAATCAACACTGTTTGTCAACCTATTGTATTTGTGTTGCTTTTTCAGTCATGTTCCCCTTTTTTTTTATCTTTATTTGTATTTGTTCTCAACACTTTTTATTCTTTATGCTCAATTAGTATTAAGTTCTAGATATTAATGTTTTTCTTGCCCGAAACGCATTGCGTAATAGTGGCTTTAGGCATTGTATGTACTAGCTCTATCTATATATCAATCCATTAATGTAACATCACTTGTATGTATGTACCTTACCTGAATAAACATATTTATTTATATTTATTTATTTACTAACCGTTTTGGCCTCCACCACCTCATCTAACTTGTTCCAACAGTCTACCACTCTGTATGCGAAAAGTTAATGTTGTAAGTGGAGTGCCTCAAGGCTCTGTCCTGGGACCTCTGTTGTTTATAATATATATAAATGATTTAGATTCAGGTTTGAGTAGCAACATTTGCAAATTTGCCGATGATACGAAAATCGGTAGGGAAATTAATTCGGAGGAGGACTCACTATCACTTCAAGTTGATCTAGATAGGGTTTTGAAATGGTCAAAGGATTGGCAGATGCAGTTTAATGCTGATAAATGTAAAGTTCTGAGGTTAGGTAATGATGATAGAGTTACAAGATACGAGCTAGATGGTGTTGTGATTGCGAAATCGGATTGCGAAAGGGATCTGGGAGTTATGATTAGTAAGAATTTAAAACAAAAGGATCAATGCATAAATGTTCGTAATAAGGCAAATCGGACACTTGGATTTATTAATCGCAGCGTTAGTAACAAGACACCTGGTGTGGTTCTCAAGCTATATCTTGCTCTAGTTAGACCCCATTTAGATTATGCAGTTCAGTTTTGGTCGCCATATTATAGAATGGATATAAATTCACTTGAACGTGTCCAGCGTAGGATGACTAAGTTAATTCCCCAAATTAGAAATCTTTCATATGAAGAAAGATTAACAAAGCTTAAGTTGCATTCACTGGAAAGGCGAAGAGTTAGGGGTGACATGATAGAGGTTTACAAGTGGATGAATGGACATAACCGGGGGGATATTAATAGGGTATTAATTAAAAGTATCAACACAGGACAGAACACGAAACAATGGATATAAATTGGATAAGTTTAGATTTAGGAAAGACTTGGGTAAATACTGGTTCAGTAACAGGGTTGTTGATTTGTGGAACCAATTGCCGCGTAACATTGTGGAGGTGGGGTCCCTCGATTGTTTCAAGCACGGGTTGGACAAGTATATGAGTGGGATTGGGTGGTTATAGAATAGGAGCTGCCTCGTATGGGCCAATAGGCCTTCTGCAGTTACCTTTGTTCTTATGTTCTTATGTTCTTATGTTCTTAATTTTCTTATATTTCTCCGGCAGCTTTGTTTAGTTAGCTTAAATCTATGGTCTCTTGTTCTTGATGGACATTGGGATTTATTAATCGAAGCATTAATAATAAGACACCTGGTATTGTTCTTCAGCAATATTTTGCTCTAGTTAGGCCCCCCATTTAGATTAAGTAGTTCAGTTTTGGTCGCCATTTTATAGAATTGATATAAATTCACTAGAACGCGTCCAGTGTAGGATGACAAAGTTAATCCCCCAAATTAGAAACCTGTCATATGAAGAAAGATTGACAAATCTTAAATTACATTCTCTAGAAAGGTGAAGAATTTAACAGTCTCCGTGGTGTAGTGGTAAGACACTCGCCTGGCGTTCCGCGAGCGCTATGTCATGGGTTCGTATCCTGGCCGGGGAGGATTTACTGGGCGCAATTCCTTAACTGTAGCCTCTGTTTAACGCAACAGTAAAATGTGTACTTGGATGAAAAAACGATTCTTCGCGGCAGGGGATCGTATTCCAGGGACCATAGGATTAAGGACTTGCCCGAAACGCTACGCGTACTAGTGGCTGTACAAGAATGTAACAACACTTGTATATATCTCAAAAAAAAAAAAAACAAAAAAAAAAAATTAGGGGTGACATGATACAGGTGTACAAGTGGATGAATGGGCATAACAAAGGGGGATATTAATAGGGTATTAAAAGTATCAACACAAGACAGAACACGAAACAATGGGTATAAATTGGATAAGTTTAGATTTAGAAAGGAGCTGGGTAAATACTGGTTCAGTAACGACCAATTTGTGGAACCGTGGTTAAGGTTGGGTCCCTTGATTGTTTCAAACGTGGGTTGGACATGTATATGAGTGGGATTGGGTGGTTATACATAGGTGCTGCCTCATACCTCATATGGGCTAATAGGCCTT